AATAAAATTTATTATTAATTTGACCATTAAAATTAGTCTGGATGATAAAAAACATATATGAATTGGTTCAATAAATCATAAATATTACCAATTGTTTGGTTAGAAAATAATCATTATCAAATTAAAATTGATTAATTTGACAAATTATACTTAAGATAAATATTACAAATTATTTACTTATATAAAACTTTTATTGAATTATTATTTTATAATAAGGAGTGAAAAATTATATATATATATATATATATATATATATATATATATATATATATATATATATATATATATATACCATATTGGTTATTAGTTATATACCATATTATGGATTTACGTCCATATGAGAATATGAAAAGAATAAATGTACAACCTAATTAATACTACGTATTACATAATATCATACCTAATATTACTATACATAATACCATACGTAATTATTATTTTTAATACCATGCATACAATTACCATACATACTTGAATTGGTTATCAATATAGATTTCTTAAATTGGTTATAAATCATATTATAATATTACGTCCATATGAAATAATATTAACATACATAAAATTACCATACATATTTGTTAATATTTAGATTTATTAAATTGGTTACAATTCATATTATGGTAAAATAATTCTTATGCAATATACGATTTGGAAACTCAATGAATATTAAGATTCCGTGCAATGAACATATATTTCATCACGTGTACTCATTTGACCAAAAATATGAAGGTTGGTTCAATAAATCGTAAATATTACTAATTGTTTGGTTAGAGAATAATCTTTATCAATAAAAATTAAAATAATTAAATCTCTATCATATTCATATGCTGTTGCTTTAGGCTTTTGTCAAGGAGCACTACTCACGATCCTCAATACATTGCCATGGCTCCAAATCCTTGTGTTACTCCTATTGGTGCTGGAAGGACCGTCACATCAGGAAAAAAAATATTAATAGTACAAACTCATTCAATGATGTCCCCTCTCATGCAAATGACATGCAGATCTAGTTGCTCAGAGTCCACTAATAATCAGATGGTCAGTTTTTTTTCTATCACTATGAATAGTGCATTATTTAATCTTGCCCAGAGTCCAATAATAAACAACTTTTAATGGATTGAGATAAGGTATTAGAGAAATACCTTTTAATGGGTTGAGCAAACTCGTCCAGATTAATGATGAAGAAGATCAGATGATATATATGATCAATATAATCATAGTTTATATAATATATGTAGATAGATTTTAAATTTCACCAATGGTATATATGATTTTCTATTCTTTATTAAAAAAAAAAAAAAAAAAAAAAAGAGTTGAAAAATGATACAGAGATTTACCAAATGTGTAGGTGTAGTGCAACAGCTCTTCTGGATACGCAGAGAATATGGGTCTTGTTCCTCCTCTTCTTGAAGGTCCATGTTCTCTACACCATTGCTATGCAGTTGCAGAGAATATCCCTTAGGTTCTTCGTAACTTGGTACTATTTGTATTGAAGACAATGTGATGTATATATAGGTGTTTAGATATGATTAAGGGTAACATTTATGGTTTTTATTATATTACCAATTACCAATTACCAATTAAAATTAGAGTTACAATTTTACATTTGCTTACCAAAAAATTATATATAGATACTTAATTTATATTTGAAGAATATATTTGCCTAATTTACTTTATATACAGTAATAAGTATGTCTACACATAAATGAATAATATATAATATATAATTTCAATATTTTGATAATTAATTAAATTAGAAAATTAGGATATTATATAAATGCCGCTAAGTTTTGGGGGAAAATTTATATGGTTTTTATATTATTATTATTATTATTATTATTATTATTATTATTTTTATTTTATTATGCTTACATTATTTCATAAGATTTTTATTATATTTGAACAATAATATTTTCAATTATATTATAGAATATAATACCATACATAATATTACCAATTATGTAATATAACAATTAATAGATTTTATTTAATTTCCATTTGACATTTACTTACCAAATAAACTTTACTACAAAAGTTTTGGGGGGAAAATTTGTTAGGAGGATTTTACTTTTATATATATACTAGTATTTTCACCCGTACGATGTACGGAATGGAATTGTTGTAATATATTAAGAATATTTAAATCGATATATAATTATTTAAGAGTTAATTTCACCAGAGGTCGCTTATTTTTTCTGATAATTCCAAATTTAATCCTAGACTATAGTTATTAATTATTACGATTTATTCTATATTATAATTCTTACGTTAATATTCTTACTATTATTATTAACACTTAATTACTTTTAGATATTATTTTTACCACTTATATTATTATTATTATTATTATTATTATTATTATTATTATTATTATTATTAGTATTATTATTATTATTATTATTATTATTATTATTATTAGTTTGTTTTCAAGTTTTGTTAGTATATAATGGTCGTGGGGCACACAATAATAATATAACCATAATTAAATATTCTTGTATTGTAATCCGTGAGTCACAATAATAAGGTAATAATAATTAAGCCCGCATGGGTAGCTCAACTGGTCATAGAGGTGAAACTTTAGAAGAATGACCAGGGATCAAGTCTCATCAGCGGTAGTGTGGGAGCAACCTCTCAAAGTGAAGGGGGTTTCTTGTGCGCAGTGAGCACCGGTCTAGCCTCTGTGGTTCATGCTCTGTAGGGCCCTTAGGGTTGGGGTTCTTCCTTTTGGAAGAATATAACAATAATTAAATATTCTTCTAGGATTTCTATTACCATCATTAATTATTCCCTAATAAAAAATGCACGGGACAATTTTTTAATTAAAAAATTTAAAAATTCATTAATAAAACATAAGGTTCACATAGTTTATTATTAAAAACTATTTAATAAAGAATTTTCTTTAGAAATTGGTGGGCCAAACCGCCTACGGCAGTTTGCGGTGGATAGATCTCGAAAAAATACGCAATTTCAAAAAAACATTTGTCCAAAATGGACAACCGAGTCAAAAGTTATGCCTTGCCGAACTTTTGACACTTCACATCTTTTACCCAGAATTATTGTACGAATGGAAAAGATCAATATATTTTATTGGGAGGAGAGATTTTTTAGGAATTGGGCGGGAAGTTAAAATTTCAGGATTTTGTTTTTATATATAGTATAGATTAGATGTACAAAGGGAATTGTATTACACTATTTTATAATTTTAGAATAGAATTTTTACCCATAATTATTGTACGAATGGTAAAGTAGAAGTTAATATATTTTATTGGGAAGATAGATTTCTTAGAAATTGGGCGGGAAGTTAAAATTTCAGGATTTTGTTTTTATATATAGTATAGATTATATGTGCAAAGTGAATTGTATTACACTATTTTATAATTTCAGAATAGAATTTTTACCCAGAATTATTGTACGAATGGGAAAGATCAATATATTTTATTGGGAGGAGAAATTTTTTAGGAATTGGACGGGAAGTTAAAATTTCATGATTTTGTTTTTATATATAGTATAGATTAGATGTGCAAAGGGAATTGTATTACACTATTTTATAATTTTAGAATAAAATTTTTACCCAGAATTATTGTACGAATGTGAAAGTAGAAGTTAATATATTTTATTGGGAAGATAGATTTTTTAGGAATTAGGGGGGAAGTTAAAATTTCAAGATTTTGTTTTTATATATAGTATAGATTATATGTGCAAAGTAAATTGTATTACACTATATTTTATTGGGAAGATAGATTTTTTAGGAATTAGGGGGGAAGTTAAAATTTCAGGATTTTGTTTTTATATATAGTATAGATTATATGTGCAAAGTGAATTGTATTACACTATTTTATAATTTCAGAATAGAATTTTTACCCAGAATTATTGTACGAATGGGAAAGATGAATATATTTTATTGGGAGGAGAGATTTTTTAGGAATTGGGCGGGAAGTTAAAATTTCAGGATTATGTTTTTATATATAGTATAGATTAGATGTACAAAGGGAATTGTATTACACTATTTTATAATTTTAGAATAGAATTTTTACCCAGAATTATTGTACGAATGGGAAAGTAGAAGTTAATATATTTTATTGGAAAGATAGATTTTTTAGGAATTGGGCGGGAAGTTAAAATTTCATTATTTTGTTTTTATATATAGTATAGATTATATGTGTAAAGTGAATTGTATTACACTATTTTATAATTTCATAATAGAATTTTTACCCAGAATAATTGTACGAATGGGAAAGATCAATATATTTTATTGGGAGGAGAGATTTTTTAGGAATTGGGCGGGAAGTTAAAATTTCAGGATTTTGTTTTTATATATAGTATAGATTAGATGTACAAAGGGAATTGTATTACACTATTTTATAATTTTAGAATATAATTTTTACCCATAATTATTGTACGAATGGTAAAGTAGAAGTTAATATATTTTATTGGGAAGATAGATTTCTTAGAAATTGGGCGGCAAGTTAAAATTTCAGGATTTTGTTTTTATATATAGTATAGATTATATGTGCAAAGTGAATTGTATTACACTATTTTATAATTTCATAATAGAATTTTTACCCAGAATTATTGTACGAATGGGAAAGATCAATATATTTTATTGGGAGGAGAAATTTTTTATGAATTGAGCGGGAAGTTAAAATTTCATGATTTTGTTTTTATATATAGTATAGATTAGATGTGCAAAGGGAATTGTATTACACTATTTTATAATTTTAGAATAAAATTTTTACCCAGAATTATTGTACGAATGGGAAAGTAGAAGTTAATATATTTTATTGGGAAGATAGATTTTTTAGGAATTAGGGGGGAAGTTAAAATTTCAGGATTGATTTTAAAAGGTGCCAACAGGAAGATTTCAAACGTTCAAATTTCTAAAGCCTTCATCTATATATAAAAAGCTTCTCTTGAAGCATGAAGAAGTTACAAAGTTGACAGATTTCAAAAGAATGAGATAAACGGAGTATTGATTACTCGCAAATTGACCAATTGTAGATTTCTATCACAAATTAATCAAATGAAGTTAGAATAAAACTATCTGCAAAAAATATATCCATCTGTTTTCAGTATGTACAATAATATGTGAAGATGAGTAATCCGTGTAAAATGAAGTTATTTGTGGCCTAAAATGGGCTAACTTTGCCAGCCAACTTCAACATGAATTCAGGCACTAAGCGCTTTCTCCGGGGAGCATTAGCAGCTTCTGCAAAGGCTTCTGGGTTGCCATAATCAATTCTACTGATCAACTCCTCCAACATCTCATCTGTTCCACCTCTCATTGGATCCTAACATTGTACACAACCCAAAAATCATCAACAATACAATTCCAATACTATGAACCAAGGTCCACCTTGCATTTTAGAGCCTGGTCCAAAAATTATGTGTCTACAGATAACATATTATGTATCTTAAGTTAATAAATTATGTGTTTGTAAATAAATTGAAGACACATAAGTATGTGTCTGTAATTATGTTAACTACTGACACATAATATACGAACTACATGCACATAATATATTAACGGCAGGCAAATAATGACGTGTTTGGTAAATAGTTGTTAGCTGATTGGGTTAGTGGATTTGACTAGTTGATAGCAATAGCTGATTGTAAAAAAAAAAAAAAAAAAAAAGTGTTTGGTAAATTAATTGTTAGCTGATTACATGCAAAATAACATTCAAAAACTTGATCGAAAAAACTGCTTTGAGCGGCTTTGTGAATTTTAACATTTTGGAGCAATAAGTTATTACAAAAAGTTAATTAATCAAATAATCATTAATTGTTAAACCAAGTTAAACAGCTAATAATGGTCAAATAAGTCAAAATTGACTGATAAGCTAACTATGTTACTAAACAGGGCCAAAATGTTAACTTCATATTATGTGTCTGTAGACTGTAGTTAACACTTTATGTGACTAACAGTGCAGGTGGAAGGCTCCTTGCCAGTTGCCACCTTTTGGACTGTCCATTTCATTATTTCTTTATTAAGAGAGTTATTCCATAAGTGCATTTCTGTCTGTCTTCCAAAGAAACAGCATAAGATATATCTGTAACAATCAAATACATACCTGAAGGAACAGATCTGTATGTGTTTTCCCTTCATACATGATTGATTCAGCTTTACCGCCAAGATCATTCAGAACATCCACAAATTTCTTGCTGGAATCAATAAAAGACGTATATATTTAACATTACTTCGAATTCACTATCGAGAACCACATATATATATATTTAACATTTCTGAGGCTTGAGGATAAGAAGGGATTTCAACAAATATGTGTTGCAGGTGGGGAACTGGTGAAAAAACTGGGATTTTTGCTAAAAGAGAATTTAGTGACAAAAATTCTAAATAAGTCTAAGAGAAGATTCTAACCTGGAGTCACAAGGAATGGAATAGTCTCCAGTGCCATGGAAAAGGATAATAGGAGGAAGGAGTGGAACTGCATTTCTAACATTTGGGTCTTGCACAACTAATTCTGGCGAGTATTTTCCCAAAGATTCTTGCCCTTCCATTATGCTGCAAAGGCATTGACAGAATAAGAATGTTATATGTGATCTAAATAGGAAACGTGAAAAATATAGCAGCCATGTTGACCTCGTATGAAGAAATGAAGTCGAGAGGATATATACCTTAAGAAAAGTGAGCGATACAGACCTCGGCTGTGGAAGTAATCGACTAGGCTAAGCAAATTGTACCTGAAGATCATCATTAAAATAGTGAAAGTTCCAGATACTCCATAATTATAAATGGCAAAAACGATAGTCTGAGACTAAATTTGGAATTGCCACCAAAGACAAGGGACTTCGGGTGGAATTATAACTCTTATAAATGAGAACCAAAGGAAAAAAGCACCAGGGACTTTCCATAAGCCTGCTGATAATTAACTCACCCTCCAGATAACCCAAAATACGCCTTTATTTGAGATACACTCCATGAAACGCTTTGTCCCTTGCCAGCCTCTTTGATCGCCTGTTCCACGAGAGCACATGCAGCAATATGTGCACCGGCTGATTGTCCCATTAAGTATATTCTACGAGAAACCAAACCTATAAGTTGCATGTTCAGTAAAAGTGGTATCTGTTGAAAGGAAAATACGCCAAGGTGTAACCACCTGTTAGGATCACCTCCATATTCAGCCGCATTATTGCACATGAAGGAGATACCTTGGGAAGCATCTCTGACCATATCGCCGATAGTTGCCTGAGGGAAATTTCTGCATACAACCACTGATGTTATAATAGAATTACAGGTTATTAATGATATACGGATCCATAGCACACAAATTAGTTATTTACTTATTAGAAAAGAATTAGTATTCATGATATATGAGTGCGTACCGCTTGAAAAGATTGGCTATTAGAAGTGTCAGGAGAAGCACAAAACAATAAACAGCAGTACTCGCCTACTATGTTCCCATCAAAGAGAGACACCAGACTATACAGTATTGGATCAATTGTTTGTTTTCAGATATTAAGCCCATTTTGTCATCAGATCTGAGATCATTAATTCACTTTTCACAAACAGAGAAATCTATTCTTAAACACAATCAAGATCGGACCTGTAATCAATGCATGCCACTATTACGCCTCTTTCAGATAACTGTTGTCCTAAAAGAGAACCCCAAGCTTTGTAACTGTGAAAAAATAGGAATAGTCAGTAAAAATGTCATAGTGATCATACAAACAGGAAAGAATTTCAACTAAATGCACAACAGCATAAATTTACTTATTTGGGTCCATTTTATAAAACTAAGTGATGTTTATAGTAAAGAATTCTGCATTGTTAATGAGAAAGAGACACCACATCATTTCCACAATTATCAGAAATCAAGAACAACAATTCGGATGCCTTGTTGGTTTTCTCGTGTGTGGAAGTACACATGCTTCCAGCTTTTAGAGTCTAATATGTTGATGTTTAAAAGAAGCAGAATTCAAGAAGGAACAGTTCAATTACACACCCAATGATCCAGGCTCCACCTGTTATAAATGCTACAACTGGCTTGGGGCCATCATTGTTTTTAGGCAGGTAAAGGTCCAGCCTGCAACACAAGATCTTTTTAAGCCATGAATTCTACAAAGACTAAAAATACAAATTGTTGTCATTTTAAAGGAGAATCACTACCTAAAATTAGAGAAGCTTAACAACTAATGAGAATATGAGATTAAGGAAATAAATTCCTAAGAAAATCTAAAGCCAGTCATTGAAGGGTACCTATTTCTTGGTTGCTCACCAAAGACAATACTTCTCCGGACTTGCCTGGAAAAGAAGTAGTAATATCCCACTGCAACAGAAACAGATTTCGTATGCATTATTTCCTAGAATTTTATGTCTGATACATTGAGAAGCATAAGAAAAATATCAAAAGAAAGCTTATCACAAAATTCTACACCCAGATTTAGAATTATCAGGCAATCAAAACGAATGAGAATAAATATTTGCAACAATAGATTTTCCCAACCTTGAACAAAACCAGGCATAAGAAGTAAAGCATAACATCCAAGGGCAAGAAACCTGGTGATCCATCTGTAGCCTACCCTGAATGAAGATAGATGACCATGAAGCATTTAGTCAAAGTGTCATTCATACACACAAGAAAATGACATTACAGTTAATGTTAAAGTGTTAAATATACCTAAGCAACTACTTCATCACTGATTTATTTTAAGGTTATCTCTTTGTCTCATCTTACAAAAACATTTGCAATGAAGAAAGAAAAAGGCAATGCAAACTACTGATTATGGTTAAACTCTTGGCCATATATGAAGTTACTACCTGCAGTAGCATGACCACAGTTACTCCATATCAATTACAAACGTGTTGATTTAGTTAAAGAGTTCCTACACTTTGATACAGGTGCAAATGAATTCTAAGGAAGTTTCTAATTAAAGGGATAATGATAATATTTGTTTTTAGACATCCTACATACTAGAGAGCTGCCATTGTGTGTATATTGAACATATCTGGTAGAAGAATCTTTGAAAATCCATACCAGAATCATACAAATGTTATGTCCTTCAGTGCAATTAAGTTCAGTCATCAGTGGTGATACACTTCAGAACATTTTGGGTGAAAATATGGATAGTAAATACTGCCTTTGCCCAAGCTGTATAAAGTATTCCTCTAAACACAATGCACCTATTTTTAAAAGGTTTAATTTCTTGAAATTTCCATTTGTTTTAAATGGATGATAGAAAAATCGTTTACCTTGATTAGCAGTAGAATTTCTTTCAAATATTAGAAAAACAAATTTCATGGGCTAATATCAAAATAATAATAATAATAATAATAATAATAATAATAATAATAATAATAATAATAATAACAATGTATAGGACAATAAGATTTTGAATTCATATCTCAGGTGTGTTTTCTTCCTAATCTACTCTAGCCTGACATACTGATTCTCAAATCCCACATTATTTTCCTCCAGCTTCTGTCATTTAAGTAGCTACAGTTCCTTCTAAAGTAGAGGTCTTAATCAGGTCTTCAGCAATAGAAAGACTTAAAATGATGCATCAAACTAGCTTAAGGATCTTTCTCAAGACATGGACTTTCCTTTTTTTATAAATTATCTTCTCCAGGCATATGCATTATGTGCCTGAGACTCAAGATCGCCTATATTAGCATTGCACAACAGTGTAAAGGGATATGTAATTATGCAGGTCCATTTTTGTTTCTCTTCATTCTATTGAAGACATTCTTACCATCAAATTTAATGACGTATGTCATTTAATTCATCGAGTCTTTTGTCAAAGCACAGTTCAGTGATTGTTCAAGCATCTTTATGGGCTAAAGCCAGTGAAAATTTCTAAGGCCTAGCTCTTTCAAATTTTCCAGGAATTGGTACTGGGTTGATTTATGTCATTTTCTTTGTTCTTCACCATATATTCTTGTTTCACTCAATTAGTCATTTAATATAAAAGCTTTCCTTCAAACCAATGGTGTGCTCTATGCCTCTATAATATAAAGAGATGAGAAGGGGGCATCTAAACTCTCATCGTTTACAAAGTCATGAACTCGAGATGACACTACTGGCCTTCATTGGCAATGCTAGAGCAATACTACTGGTACATAGATAGGGCTGTAGCTTTCTACAACCCAAGGTGATACAATAAATGCTGCAAGTTGATGAAATTATTATACCAACTCCAACTAACAAAAACTTGGCACTATAGTCTGATACCAGCATAGAAGCTGTTAAAACACACACACACTCCAAACCTAACATTGATCACAGTGTTATCATACTATACAATCTCTCTTCTCCATAACCCAAACACACTTCTTCGGGTTCAAATTTATAACGAATAAACAAGGATATGAACAACATTCAAACAATATAAACAACAACAACAACAACCTCTATGCAAGATGTAACAAATCAACAACAGAAATGCAAATGAATTGTTCTCTATGTCTCATTTTACATGTCATGTTAACTATTCTCAGTCAAATCAACTGTTTCTTTTTTACTAATTTTCTCTAGTATTTTTAATTATTCTTAAATTTGATTTTTTATATTTAGTAATATTTTTAGGCCTTGGTTGGTAACATAATCAGCCAATTTTGGCTTATTTGAACACTATTAGTTGTTTGACTTGGTTAAACATTCAATATAAGTGTTTGATTAATTAGTTTTTTGTAACATCTTATTGTTTCAAAATGCTAAAATTCAAAATGTTTCTAGTAGCTTTTTCGATAAGCTTTTTGAGAAAGTCATTTTGCATGTAATTAGCTATCAGCTAATCTACCAAACATCTTTCTACAATCAGCTAATGCTATCAGTTAATCAAACTCACTAACTCTATCAGCTAACAGCTATCTGCTAATGGCTAACAACTATTTACCAAACACCCCTTAATGTAGTTTTGAAATATATAATTTTTATATACTAATATTAAACTTGACATTATGAAAAATTGAATTAAAAATAATTTCGAAGCATTACCCGAGATACCCCAACAGCTTAACGGCCAATCTTGTGACCAAATAGGTTTCAGAAGCCGCCCTTCCGACATCCTGACGGAAAGAGGAGCTGCGGCTGCCACCGGAGCTGGAAGAGAGCGACGAATCACTGGAAACTCGCCTCCGTCTCTGCTTCTTAAAAAAAGCATTCGAACTACCCAGGGCGGCATCGTTGGAGCCAGTGAAACTCGAGGTCCTAGAGAGAAAAGGCACGCTCTCGATTCTCCTATCGTCCTCCAAATCCAGAGAGGAAGATGACTGCGAAATCAGAATCCGTGTCGAGGCGGGGGCGGAGGCGGCCATGTGATCGCGCTCCGATCTGATCAGCATTGTGGCTCCAGATCCTGCTAACGCCGCAGGGGGAGGAGGGGGTCGAGGGGTAGATATAGGAAGAAGGCTCTGTGATGTCGTCATCTTTTTCTTCAACAATAAAAGGAGAATATTATCTGATCTGTATCACTATCACTGTATGTATGTAAATCTATAAACCTGCATGTTATTCAGAATCTATGTTCTATAACACAATCATAAAGAACAAAAATCAAGAAATTCGCTTCAAAAAGAATCAAGGAATTTTGTTTGTATTGTAATGGGGGGAGCGAGTGTTGAGTTAATTGAGCTCTGCATCATGGCAATGGTTAAAAATGGTGAAATGGAAAGAGGATCAAGACTTCAACTTCTTGGGCAAATTATATCGAATTTGGTACACCTTGCATCGTGAATCCAGTTCAAAATGACATTTAAATGTGTCAGTAATTTATAAATTATTATCTGTAAATAAGTTAAAGGCACGTAATAAGTTATTTATTGGCATATAATACATTAATTACAAACACATAATTATGTACATATTAACCTACTTTATTTATTTACAAATACATACGTTTGCCTAATAACATAGTTAGTTTATCAATCAATGTTCACTTATTTAATCATTATTAGATATTTGACTTGGTTAAACAATCAATATAACTGTTTGATTAATTAGTTTTTTGTAACAATTTATTGTTTCAAAACACTAAAATTCAAAAAGCTACTCAAAGCAGATTTGTCGATAAACTTTGTGAGAAAATCATTCTGCATGCAATTAACTATCACAACAACTAATTAACCAAACATTTTGTTAGAATCAGTTAATGCTATCAACTAGTCAAACTCATTAACTCAATCAGCTAACAACTATTATCAAACTCTCATAATCTATTAATTAAAGACATATAATACATAATTGTAAATACATATTTTTAACAATTCAACTTTGTGGTATTGTGGGTATAAAATTCTTGGATTTCTGACGTGGGATAGTTTGATAAGAATAACATTGAGAGATGGTGGGCCAGTAGTAGGTTGGTGCCACATGTTCTTTTGTCATTTGGTTTTGTAGCTATGTTGTTATTGGAGGCTCCGCTAGTCTTAACTGCAACCAATTAAAATAGAGTAATACCCCTTTCAAAAAAAAAATTTTAAAAATAGAGTAATACCATCCCTAACATTAGCAGTCACCCACTTTGCATCAACTCTATTTTATTTTACTAGTAATTGTCCCGTGCGATGCATGAGCTATTATTAATTTAAAAAATTTATCAATTAATTTTTTGACATCATCTGAATTAACAAAGAAATGGTTATCGAAACAGAAAAACGTACTTGAGTTCTTGACCTCAAAATTAGTTTGATTAAAAATGTAAGTAATTGATTTAACAAATTTATCAATAGTCAAATTAATTATAATTGAGGTTTAAATGAATATGCCATGTGCGATGCACGAACAAAAAATTATAAGTATTGTTGTAACGTTATGATACAAAGCTGAATTAGTTTTATTAAAAAATGTAAGTATAGCTATACAATGTAATATTTAAATGTTAAGACAACAAATGCATTCATATTGCTAATCTGATTTGCAATAATGACCTTACAAAGTTAAACGGACAAAGAAAGACCCGGACCACCTCGTGGTTTACAAAAAATAATAATAATAATAATAATAATAATAATCTTACAAATCTATTAATATGCATTCACACTTAGGGGGGAATTTTTTTCACACTAAATAATATAACATAATAAAAATAAAAGTTTTAATATAACAAATTGCCAATATATAATTACATTTTTTTTTAATTCTTGGGCCAAACCTATCCCATTGCTGCAGCCCATTTTCCCAATGTCCATTCATACTTTTGGAGGGAAACAAAGATTCTGCTTTATATATATAAAGATAAAGATAAAGATAAAATTTTTTTTAACTTATGATCATTGTTAATTTCTAATATTCATTATAATTATTAAAATGCATAATAATTTAATTAAAACTATCAAAGTTTGACCGTCGCTTGGTATGTGTATCACGTATCTGGCAAACTTGCAAGATACAAACTTCCCCCAAACTTGCAAGAAACAAACCGTTTAAGAAAATTAATGGAGTGGTCCCCATTGAGTATGCTTTAAACTTTGATAGTTTTATAAGATAAATATCAGTCATCACTTAGGGCATCTTCAATAGTGGAAATTTTGGTGTAGTTTTTTAGGTGCCAAGTATGAGAGATGAGATTTTTAATGCAAGAAAAAAAGAACAACTAATTGTTATATTTATCTTGTATTGAGACCACAAAAATCTCATTCTTTGCAAGATGACCTCTAGCATTCTCTCACTTGCTTCTCTTTTATCCATGGTGGCTCCTTCCCCCATGTCTTTACGGGGTGTTTGGTTGGGAGGAAGGAATTAGGAAGGAAATGAATTACAATTCGGTGGGAAAAGAATAAGGTATGAATAATGTAGGAATTCAAATTACATTGTTTGGTATGAGAAATAGAATTTTTAGGAATAAGAAAGAAAAAAATGATATAAAGACTAAAATGCCCTTGTGTAATAAAAAGAATAACAATCATCGAGGGTATTTTTGTCATTTCATCCATTTTTTTCCTTTCCCAAAAGCATTGAATTGCAATTCATATGGGTACCCCATGAATTGCAATTCAACAAAAGGAGGGAATTGCAATTCCCTCCAGCCAAACACTATAATTTATCTTGCAATAGAATAAAGTAGAAAAAGAATTACAACTACATCCAACCAAACACTCCCTTAGAGTATCTATATCAATTCAATATTTTGCACTGTTTTTTATGTGTCATCTAAGAAAGAAAGAGTTATGCAAGAAATAAATGGGAAAAAAAAAACAAAAAGAAAAAAGGTACTAACTCTGCCTGACGAATAAAAACAGACAAAGACATTTTAAAATAATAAAGTTACCACAGCGTACGCGCCAGCTGGGCGCATCAGTGCGCCTAACATGCACTGATTCACCTGCTGCGAAAATTTTAAAGAATTAATTTAATTTAAATGGGTCCCACAATAAACTTTCTCTTGCCGAAGTAAAAACCATGAAAAAACCTCTTCTCCCATCTATTAAAAATCATAACTAAGTTTTTGAAGTCTGAAAAAAATATCTAAAAATCTCTAGTGTAGATGCTCTTAGTGAAATTCCCCACATTGTCACTACAACAAGACTTTCAGAGTGACCCTTGAACTATTGCAATAAGCCTTGCAGAACCAGTCAATTTTTTTTAATTGACAACCGTCGCGGTTTCACTAAACTAATTATGACTTATGAGCACTCAAAATTCCCCTAAAACTTTTAGTGGGTATTTGGTTCACGGAATATTATATTACCTTTAAAAAATGTTAAATTAATGGCAATGTCAAACTACTATGAATGTTAGATTCATGTATTTGGTAAAAATTGAAGTATGGACCCGACCAGAAATGCTATTGGCCTAACCTAAAAAGTCAAAGCAATTAATGCACTAACAGTCAGAGTCAAGTAGAGACTACTAGAGCGCACAACAATTACTAAGGAGTCATGACACTTATTGAGGAAGTCGTTACATTTATTAGGATGTTGTTGTGCCCATTATTGTACTCCGTAATATTTACCATTGTATAATATAAAAGTTGAGCCCATGTAACAACAAGGACAATACACACTAAATCTTGTACTAAGAACCCTAGCAATATAATCACAAACTCTTGACAATACAACTTTACTTGTTTCTATCTACTTGCTTCCTTAAACATACTTTGTATTAATATTACCATCATATATATATATGGAAGGGTCTAGGTTAAAGCAAGGTATTTCGGTTCGATCTGTAACACTAAACATCTTACTTAAGATTCTTTTGAATCATTGTTTTTAGCAACTACGCCTCCACTGAGGCTCAAACTCACAACATTCCAAATGAAAGTCCAACACGAGTACCATTAGACCACATAGTCCTGGTTTATTTTTAGTAACTTAATTAGCTGAAAATTACCAAACATCCTTTAAACCATCGAATTTATCCTTTAACCAGAAGCTATAAATTAACCGTTGTCGTTTCAGAAACCTCATCTCCTTCCTCCCTACACCACACTCTCTCAGGCTCTCTCCCTCCATTTTCTATAACTAAAAAATCTTGGAATTGTAGAGAAATGGTTACTCTTTTGCCTCTCTACCCATACCCATCTTCTTCTTCTCCTTCTTTTGCTTCTCTCGCAACCACAAAACACATCTCTTTCTTGAAACCAAAGCCGCTGTCTCTCCATTATCACAGACCAGTCTTTCTAGCATCATCAAGGCACTCCAGTGAAGCCGACCCAGAATTACCAGAGAGTGTGAAGACTTTCTGGCAGTGGGGAATCGATGAAGGAGTGATCTCAAACAAGACACCCGTGAGGCCGGGCATTGTTCCAGAAGGTATGGGGCTGGTTGCCACGAGAGACATTGGGCGAAACGAGGTCGTTTTGGAGGTTCCGAAGAGGTTCTGGATCAACCCAGATACGGTTGCGGAATCGGAGATTGGGGGCGTGTGTTCTGGGTTGAAGCCTTGGATTGCTGTGGCTCTGTTCTTGCTGAGGGAGAAGTATAGGGGTGGGGATTCCAAGTGGAAATATTACCTTGATGTTCTCCCGGAGTGCACCGATTCTACTATTTATTGGTGGGTTTGAGCTAAATTTGGATTCTTGAATTCAACCCACTCCACTATAAGGGTCTAGAAGTAGGGTTTTAGTTGTTAAAGTTGTGTTCTTGATAAGTGTCATTTGAAATTATTCTCCTTTCAGTGCAGGTCAGAAGAGGAGCTTGCTGAGATTCAAGGTAACATATTCTCTTCTTACAATAAAGCGTTTACCACTACGCTACTAAAAGAATGATTGCAGTAGGCGCTAGTCGGGCGGTAGAATAGTAGCGCCCAGCTCCTGCCTAGGCGGGCGCCTATGCAGCTAACTAAGAAAAACAAGTGCACGTGTGTAGGTGTATATATGTCATATATATATATATATATATATATATATATATATATATATAATGAAAAAAAAAATTAGCAAGCTAAGTCGACCAAGGTTAACTAGACGAGTTAACTTGGCCTAATTTGGCCGAGTTAGGCGCTAGGCAGCTGCCTAGGCGGCTGAGTCGGCCGAGTTAGGCGCTAGGCAGCTGCCTAGGCGGCTGAGTCGGCCAAGTTAGGCCCTAGGCGGATGTGCCTAGGGAGAAATCACCACTCCTAGACCGATTTTTGCAACGTTATAACTCGTAGGGAAGATATAACACCACATTTTCAAGAGGCAGGGTGTTGGACCTTCAGCCTTCGCCCAACAATTCCACTACTACACCAAGAGCACTATAGCTCTTGACGAAATCGTAACTTTATTTTCTTATACT